CTTGAATTCTCTCGAATTCTCTAGAAACTCCTTGAATTCCCTCGAATTTTTTATGAACTCCCTGAATTTCCTCGAATTTTCTAGAAACTCCTTGCATTCCCTCAAATTTTCTGGAAAATCCTTGAATTCTCTCGAATTCTCTAGAAACTCCTTGAATTCCCTCGAATTTTTTATAAACTCCCTGAATTTCCTCGAAACTTCTAGAAATTCCTTCGAATTATCTGGACACTCCCTGAGTTTCCTCGAAATTTCTACAAACTCCTTGCATTCCCTCAGTTTCTGGAAAATCCTTGAATTCTCTCGAATTTTTTATAAACTCCCTGAATTTCCTCGAAATTTCCAACTCCTTGAATTTTTTCGAAATTTCAAGAAACTTCTCGAATTGCCTAGAATTTTCTAGAATTCCGATAGATGTCTCTGCACATAAGAACCGTCTCCCAAAATGATCCCCCATATTGAAACCACAGACGTATCCACGTCAAAAAAAGTCAAAACAATCGAAAATCATCATCATCATCATAGCTTTATTACACAGATAAGTATGGCTGCCAAAAAATAAACAGAAGAAGTATAAAAAAAAGAGAGGCGACGATTTATTTAGAGCAGTCGGACTAGAGTGAATCCGCACGAGCATTCGAGAACTAGTGTTGGGTGACAAATTCACGAAGATGCCAGGGTACCCTGTTGATGTGAATGGCTGTTCTCCTGATGACTCTTGCAGCTAAGCACTTCAATGTCGTATACTTGAGGGGATTTAACGAGTCGTATTTGGCCTTGTCATCGAGCAGGCTCTGGTAGGTTTGGCCCTCGTTGTTGACAGCGTCGATGTGGGCACCTGCTTTGAGAAGAAGTGTTGCCAGGTCTGTTCTCCAGGGGTGGGACATTGCAGTGAGGTGCAATGCTGTGTTGCCCTCGTCGTCAGTGGCTGTTGGATCGGAGCCTGCCCGGAGGAGAGCTGTTGTCAGTTGAGGGGATGTCAACTTGCAGGCTGGGTAACTGCCTGCTATCGAGGCGTCCACGTTGTGGGTCATTTGGAGAACATCTCGTCCCTGTTAAACCATTAAATTCAAAGCTTCAATGAGGTGTTTTGGGAAAAAACACGTTTCGTCCTCAAATATCCCTAAAACTACTGGGTTTAGAATAAAACATGACTAGACTTTTTTGTAGAGAAATTCATCAGGTGCAAATAATTTCTTATGGCATTTCCTCCTAAACTCATTATTTCTGGAGATATCATCAAGACACTGAATACCAATTTTCCAACTCCTTGGATTTTGCAAACAAACAGTCTGAAAATTTGATGGAATTTCGTCCTAAAATATCTTGAAAACTACTGGGTTTAGAATAAAACATGACTAGACTTTTTTATAGATAATTTCATCAGCTGCAGAAAATATTTTATGATATTTCGCCCTAAATCCTTTATTTTTGGAGATATAATCCAAAAACTAAATACTAATTTTCCAACTCTTATAGAAAATGCAAACTTACTCCTTTATCTTTGGCATTAATTCGAACCAACTCGTGGATAGCCCGATGAAGATTGACATACTCCTCAGACCCAACTTCCGGCATTTCTCTCGTCAACAGACAGGCGAGATGAAGAGTGATAATAAGTATCCTGTTTAAATTCGTGAGGTCACGGTCACAGTTGGGTACCTTGTCCAACATCTGCTTTCCCAGTTTAACTTCCATAACCTGGAGCCGAGGAAACAATTTCACCCATCAATGACAACACAATAAATAACAATGCATTAAAGCAACAATACCGCAAATATGTAAAACTAAACTTGAATAACTCATTTTTTGAAACTCCACCCCCCATTTATCCTTGAATATCTCCTAAACCATTGACTTTACGAAAAAATGTGATAAAACATTTTTTGTGAAGAATTTCATCAGCTACAAAAAAGCTCAATGACATTTCTCCCTAAACGCACTATTTTTTGAGATATAACGAAAAAACTGCAGACGAAATTTCGTCTCTCCCCGAATCTCCTCGAAAAAAACGAACTTGTCAATGATTTATTGATTGGTTAATAAAAAATAACACTCACAGCTTTTTTAAACACCCTCATAAGATCCTCCCTCTGCACCGGTGGTATTCTCCTCCCCCTCCCCGTCTGTCTCCCCTCCTCACCAACCATAAAACTAAATAACTCAATAAAACTGAACAACGAGCTCTGGGTCATGGGATTCAACGGCTCCAGCATGCTCTGCTGCATATCCAGTGCGTAATTCCACAGTTCAATGCACCTCTCAAACTTGCCAGCATCAGCATAGATAGCCCCACGATACCTTATGTAGTAACTAGTGTCTGGATGTGCAGGACCGAGAATTCTCTCTCTTATTACCAATGCCTGCATTCTCATCTCGTCAGGATCTGCCAGTAGTTCATCAAGCTGCTCTGGTTCTGAGACCTGAAATCAAAATAATCACGTCAAATCCATAGTCCCTGATAATGAATAACATTCACTGAATATTATTTTCTCAAACTCAAACGAAATAAAAATGAAAACTTGAGAAATACTCTTCATTTTATTTCACTATTTCAAACCCACCGCCTTCAATCGTCAATATCTCCCGATCAAACGACACAATTTGAATGAGTCTGCGCTCATTTTGAAGCCCGCAAAAATACCTCGAAAACAAAACAAAAATTGGAAAATTTCACCCTGCCAATCCCGAGTTATTGAGACTGAAAGATTTCAATCAATGCATTTATTTTCAGAGGATGAAGAAAAATTCAGGTTCCTTCAAACCTCAGTATCTCCGAAACCAATGATCCAATGTGGACGAGTGACACCTCATTTCGAAGGTGGAAAAAAAATCTTGAAAATGAAGAAAAATTCATGAGAATTCACTCAGCCGTTTCCAAGTTATTTGCGATTGAGTGCGGTCGACCTGACTCATCAAACCTACAATCTCAAAATTGTACTGATTTAGAATGACTTTTAGTCATCAAAATTTCGAATAGTTTTTACCTCTTGTGCATAATCATAAGCAGCCACCACAGGTGGTCTAGGTGGTTTCTCGATGACAGGTCCATCCCCCCTGTACCTCTCCTCCATGGCTCTCTTCCAATACTCCAACGCCAGGATCATATCTCGTTTCTTGTCGACATACGTCGCCCCCAGGAGTTCAAGAGCATCGATCCTCTCCTTACGATTCACCAGATGAGGAATCCCGATGAGATGCTCGACGATGTGGGTCCGACCAGCCACAGCCGCTGCGAGGAGAGGAGTCATTCCGTAGGAGTCCACCTCCATCCGGGCCCCATGGTCCAGGAGTATCTTCAATATCTCCAGGGAGCCACTCTCTGCGCAGTCGTGGAGAGCTGTATTACCTTTGACGGATTTACGGTTGGTGTCGGCTTTCAGGGCTAGGAGGTACTTGGCTATTCTGATGTGGCCACGGTAGCAGGCGATCATCAGGCAGGTGTGACCGTGACGATTCGCTGCTTCGATGTCTGAAATAATTTCAGGGTCGACCATGAAGCGCCAGAAAAAACGACCAGTTGGCAAAAATGAGGAAACATTTTTTTCGATTTAAGGGTTTTGGGAGTCAAATGAACCTTAAAGCCATTTGGAATTGAACGTCAAATGGTCGTAAGGGTTTGACCTTTAAGGACGTTTGGAATTAAAGGTCAAACGGCCCTTAAGGACGTTTGAAGTTAAGGGTCAAATTACTTTTAAGGACGTTTGGNAGGGTCAAACTACCCTTGAAGACGTTTGAAGTTGCGGGTCAAATAACTTTTAAGAACGTTTGAAGTTGAAGGTCAAATGACCCTTAAGGACGTTTGAAGTTTAGGGTCTAATTACTTTTAAGGACGTTTGGAATTTAAGGTCAAACAGCCCTTAAGGACGTTTGGAGTTGAGGGTCAAATTACTTTTAAGGACATTTGGAGTTGAGGGTTAAATAGTCATAAGGGTCAAACTACCCTTGAAGACATTTGAAGTTGCGGATCAAATAACTTTTAAGAACGTTTGAAGTTGAAGGTCAAATGACCCTTAAGGACGTTTGAAGTTAAGGGTCAAATTACTTTTAAGGACGTTTGGAATTGAAGGTCAAACAGCCCTTAAGAACGTTTGGAGTTGAGGGTCAAATTACTTTTAAGGAGGTTTGGAGTTGAGGGTCAAACTACCCTTGAAGACGTTTGAAGTTGCGGGTCAAATAACTTTTAAGAACGTTTGAAGTTGAAGGTCAAATGACCCTTAAGGACGTTTGAAGTTTAGGGTCTAATTACTTTTAAGGACGTTTGGAATTGAAGGTCAAACAGCCCTTAAAGACGTTTGGAGTTGAGGGTCAAATTACTTTTAAGGACATTTGGAGTTGAGGGTTAAATAGTCATAAGGGTCAAACTACTCTTGAAGACATTTGAAGTTGCGGATCAAATAACTTTTAAGAACGTTTGAAGTTGAAGGTCAAATGACCCTTAAGGACGTTTGAAGTTAAGGGTCAAATTACTTTTAAGGACGTTTGGAATTGAAGGTCAAACAGCCCTTAAGGACGTTTGGAGTTGAGGGTCAAATTACTTTTAAGGAGGTTTGGAGTTGAGGGTCAAATAGTCATAAGGGTCAAATTACTTTTAAGGAGGTTTGGAGTTGAGGGTCAAATAGTCACAAGGGTCAAACTACCCTTGAAGACGTTTGGAGTTGTGGATCAAACAACTTTTAAGGACGTTTGAAGTCAAGGGTCAAGTTACTTTTAAGGACGTTTGGAATTGAAGGTCAAATAGCCCTTAAGGACGTTTGAAGTTGAGGGTCAAATGGCCTCAATGGTCAAAAATCTTTAAGGACGCTCAAAATTGAACGTCAAAAGGTGTTAAGTATTCAAAATAAAACTTTAAAATGAAAAAAAAAATTAATCCCAAAAAATGAAAAAAAAAAAGTCAAGTGGCCACTCACCAGCCCCATGCTGAACCAGAAATTTAACAATTTCGAAGTGTCCATCGAAGCAAGCCGCCCTCAGAGGCGTTGAATTTGTCGTTGTCGTTGAATTCAATCTCGCTCCCCGTTTGACGAGCAATTTGACAAGAGCTAGATGACCAGCAGCCGCTGCACACCAGAGTGGAGGTGCACCCTCTATCGTCTCACCGTCAAAGACAACTGCACAACGAATGCAACAAATTATAAGGCCTCGAGAAATTACAGCCTTCTACTTTGCTGATGAAAAATCGTGAATATCATTCCAGGATGAGCCATTATCAAGGTGAAACATAAATTGTCCTGCCGTCATTGTAGAACCGCTGACGCCTCGAGAAAAATTAGCCGAGGGAAACTTCATTGGGATCGTGATTCTTCAAACTGTTTTACATTGTTGCAGCTTTTTATGTTTATGGTCTCATAAAACCGCGGATTAATAGAGTTGACTGGAATTTATGGGAATTTTTAAGGGGCACATTCCGGAGTTGATGGAAGTTCTGTTTCCTCTGAGGATGACGAGGGATTCATTTGTTTCGCCGGGGGAATTATTGGGTGTAGATCGGGTCAAACGTGATATATAAATCAAATTCTATATTTTTGCTATATTTTTACTTCGGTTTCATTGTCGAGCGGGAGTCTCGCAAGAGACGATTGTACCTGGGCAGGTTTTTCCCTCAAAAATGAGGTTTTTCCTTCGGCGATTGCGGTACAGGGGGTTGGGGGTGGGAAGGGAACAAATCGTAAAGACCCGAAAGAGTATACGAGAAGAAAAAAAAATATGACCTTTTTTGTAGACCCGAGTGAGAGCTACAACAAATGTAATTACCAAAATTTCGCTATCTCCCTTAGATTCAGAAATATTCCTCAAAAACTCAACTGGGAGATGAGTCGACTTGAACCGTTTTACCATTTCGCTACTGATTTACAATCAGATTCTCTTGGAAAGGGCGAACTTTCCAACAACAAATGCCTCTTGAATTTTTTAAATCGAAGAATCACTCAATTAAATCTTCAACAAGATGTGAAAAATTCCATTTTTTTTCAGAGGAACATTGATTTTTTTTTGTTAGTTGCGCGTTTTTGTTGTGAACTCCAAAAAATCGGATGGATAAAATGAAATAAAATGGAATAAAATAAAATAAAGCGAAATAAAATCACTCAATTAAATCTCCAACATGTGAAAAATTCCATTTTTTTTCAGAGGAACATTAATTTTTTTTTGTTAATTGCGTGTTTTTGTTGTGAACTCCAAAAAATCGAATGAATAAAATGAAATAAAATCAAATAAAATGGAATAAAATGAAATAAAATAAAATAAAGCGAAATAAAATGACATAAAGTGAAATAAAATGAAATAAAATGGAATAAAATGAAATAAAATAAAATAAAGCGAAATAAAATAACATAAAATGAAATAAAATAAAATAAAATAAAATTCTCACCTGATCCAGGCTGTTCAATATCAGCCCCGCACTTCTCAATCAGATACTCAGCCACATCGTAATGTCCATTCCTGCAGGCCATAACCAGTGGTGTAGCGCCATGGGTCTTGGCGCTCACCAGTTGTCCTACCTCATGCTTATCTCGATGCTCCAGAAACACCTGCAAGCAATAAAAAAAATCCTGAGACTCTCCTCCCACATCCCGAGACTCGATCTCCACCTCGAGATCATCAGAGGCCAAACACAACGTACATCACTGACACTAGAAATTACGGAACCCGTCTTGAACGAGATCGGAATAGAAATAATTGTCGAAATGGTCGAGAGGTGGTGGGTGACACGATTTTTGAATTCCTCTCCTCGGTCTCAGGATGAAGAGGACCTTGCTGAATGCAATGAAGATACACACTGGCGAGACTCTACGTGGTACCACCTCTTCGGTCAACCTCAGACCGTCGTTGAATAAATATTTAAAATACGCACTCGTACTCAGCGCAAAACGCCATCCAACGATTTTTTTTTATTTCTCTCTTCTCTCTTTCCTCGTGCGTTTACATACACGAGGGGGAGGGAAAGTTTAACAATGCGTGAAATGGTTTAAATACACAAATGAGGGAGAATGTTTCCGTATTTCGTGAACATTCTGTTTGAATATGAAGATGTTGCACTCGGACTTCTTCTGCATTAAAATTTTCTCACTTGTGATTTTTCATTTGTTCAAGTGCAGTCATGGATTTGATTGGGCTGAGGTTTTTTTATTTATTGCTATGGCTTCCGGATTTTTTAGACCTTCTGAAGTCTTCTTATTTCCGATTTTTTATTGATTCAATTGTGGTTGATTTTTTTATTTCTTCTCTCTCTTTTTTTTATTAGGTTTCTTCTCTGTTTTCGTGAGTTTAAATACACAAATGAGGGGGAATGCTTCCGTATTTCGTGAACATTATGTTTGAATATGAAGATGTTGCACTCGGGCTTTTTCTGCATTAATATTTTCTCACTTGTGATTTTTCATTTGTTCAAGTGCAGTCATGGATTTGATTGGGCTGAGGTTTATTTATTTATTGCTATGGCTTCCGGATTTTTTAGACCTTCTGAAGTCTTCTTATTTTCGATTTTTTATTGATTCAATTGTTGTTGATTTTTTAATTTCTTCTCTCTCTTTTTTTTGTTAGGTTTCTTCTCTGTTTTCGTGAGTTTAAATACACAAATGAGGGGGAATGCTTCCGTATTTCGTGAACATTATGTTTGAATATGAAGATGTTGCACTCGGGCTTTTTCTGCATTAATATTTTCTCACTTGTGATTTTTCATTTGTTCAAGTGCAGTCATGGATTTGATTGGGCTGAGGTTTTTTTATTTATTGCTATGGCTTCCGGATTTTTTAGACCTTCTGAAGTCTTCTTATTTCCGATTTTTTATTGATTCAATTGTGGTTGATTTTTTTATTTCTTCTCTCTCTTTTTTTTATTAGGTTTCTTCTCTGTTTTCGTGAGTTTAAATACACAAATGAGGGGGAATGCTTCCGTATTTCGTGAACATTATGTTTGAATATGAAGATGTTGCACTCGGGCTTTTTCTGCATTAATATTTTCTCACTTGTGATTTTTCATTTGTTCAAGTGCAGTCATGGATTTGATTGGGCTGAGGTTTTTTTATTTATTGCTATGGCTTCCGGATTTTTTAGACCTTCTGAAGTCTTCTTATTTTCGATTCTTTATTGATTCGATTGTAGTTCATGATTTTTTTATTTCTGATTTATTTATTCATTTAGTTGCAGCTGACGATTTTTTATTTTCTTCTCTTTCTTTTTTTTTGTCAAGTTTCTTCTCTTTCTTCGTGGGTTTAAATATGTAGAAGAGGATGAATGTATCCGAATTTCGTAAAGATTCCAAAAACTAAATTCTTCTTATTTCTGATTTTTCATTTGTAATAAAATAAAAAAACAGCTGACGATTTTTAAATTTTTTCCCATTCTTCACCTGTTCTTGATAATTTTTTCAAAATTCCGTGAACATTCTTAAGACCAGAGTGCCCTCACCGTAGATTTTTTATTCATTCAATTCCATCGGCGAATTTTCTAATGGAAATTGTTGAAAAAGACAAATTTTGTCGATTCGATTCACCTGTCGATTTTTAAATTTCTTCTTTTCTCATGAGTTTAAACCCACAAATAAGGACAAATCGTTTCAAATTCCATGAACACTTCACTCAAACCCTCAAATATTGTCTCACTAAGTCTATTTCCACCCAAAGATCTCCCCATTCCCACCGTCTTCGTCGAATCCTCCTTCCAAGCGCTTAAATATTTTCTCACTGATTTTTTTTCACCACAAAAATTATCTCACTCCAACTCCATTCGACGAACTTGTCGTCATACTCATAATTTATCAGCAGAGGTGTTGCAGAAAAATTCTGATGATTCAGCTAACACTCGAGTTCACAAGAGACCAAAGTCCGTCACTCCAACTCCAGCCGAATTCATTCAAATCACTTTTTGTTCCGTCGTTTTACGTCCGATATTCAACGACAAATAGTCACGAGCCGCAGATGTCGTTCCGCGATGGGAGTGAGTCGAGGAACTGGAGGATTTCCGAGTCCATTGGCACCTGGTGGACGGCAGGGTCTCCTACTCCTCCAAAAACCTCTTCCTACTCGGTGAACATTCTTCAACTCGAGATGGAACCGCTCTCGATCTCATGTCCCGTTACCGAATTATTTCAGGGAATTTTTCGGTGATTTTTCTCCGGGCGATTGACCTCAAAACCTCATTTTTTCGGGCCCTTCCCATTCCCTTCTGTTTGGGTTTGAAGGATTTCGGCGATTGCTCCGAGGAATTTTGTTTTGAATTTTTCATGGAGAAATATCAGAAAAGATTACAATCGTGGAAATTCAGGTAGGATTCTGGTAATTTTAATGAGTTAGATATTTTTGTTAATGTGGCATTGATTTTCTCAATATTAAGTTCAATTTTTTTGGGGCTTTTGCATTTACCACGAAAACGAGTGCTTATAGAGGAAAATGTCTCAAAATATTTTTTGTAGCTGATGAAATTTCGAACAAAAAAGTCCTTTCATGTTTTCTTCTAAAACTGCTTGTTATGGAGATAATGTCGAGTTTTAAGAAGTATTAAAAAATTTGAAACTCAATTTTTTCTCAATTTAATCCAGAAATTTTTGTTATTTTTGCGCGTATCTAAAAAACGAGTGGTTCTATTGAAAAATATCACAAAATCTTTTTTGCAGGTGATGAAATTTCCATCAAAAAAGTCTTTTCATGTTTTCTTCTAAAACTACTTGTTATCGAGATAATGCCAAGTTTCAAAAAAAAATTGAAAACTCAATTTTTTCTCATTTTAATCCTGAAATTTTTGTTATTTTTGCGTTTATCTAAAAAACGAGTGGTTCTATTGAAAAATGTCACAAAATCTTTTTTGCAGGTGATGAAATTTCCATCAAAAAAGTCTTCTCATGTTTTCTTCTAAAACTACTTGTTATCGAGATAATGCCAAGTTTCAAAAAAAAATTAAAAACTCAATTTTTTCTCATTTTAATCCTGAAATTTTTATTTTTGCGTTTATCTAAAAAACGAGTGGTTCTATTGAAAAATGTCACAAGATCTTTTTTGCAGGTGATAAAAGTTCCAACAAAAAAGTTCTCTCATGTTTTCTTCTAAAATTACTTGTTATCGAGATAATGCCAAGTTTCAAAAAAAAATTAAAAACTCAATTTTTTCCCATTTCAATCCAGAAATTTTTGTTATTTTTGCGTGTATCTAAAAAACGAGTGGTTCTGTTGAAAAATGTCACAAGATCTTTTTTGCAAGTGATAAAATTTCCAACAAAAAAGTTCTCTCACGTTTTCTTCTAAAACTAATCGTTAATGAGATAATGAAATGTTTAACAAAATTGTAAAGATTAAATGGAGTTTTATTTCCATCAGATCCTCAATTAAATGAATTGCCTTTCCTGATGACTCCCATCATCGCTTGTATAACTGATAATAACCCGGGATAACTCCGCGAAACGTTTGTAAACACGTGCAATCACTCATTGACGGGAGACAAATAAGCCATGATAAGTAAATTCAATGGTAATGAAATGATCGGGAAGAAAGTTTATCAATGATTCATAGAGGCTCGTCGCGCGACATTGACCGCGGCTTACATTTATTTCACCCATATCAAGTCACTTTTATCAACTAGAATATCCAAACAATTTGAAAAAAATAAATTAATCCGTCAAAAAACGTTAAAAAATTTTTGTCTTCATAATAACTTCGAAAAAAAAATCCAATACGCGAAATAATTTTTCATTTTCCATCGAAATAGTGAAATAAAACGTGCAATAAGTACTGCTTCAGTTTTGTATGTCGCTGAACTAAAATATAAACATTAATTTCCGTAAAAAAGATAAAAGAATGAATTTCAAAAAAGAAATAAATCATTTTTGCTTTGAAATTGACATGAATGAATTTGATTCGGCCGTCAAAAATGGCAAACTTGAAATATTTATGTGAAATGGTATTGCACAATGACTATTGAAAATAATATTTCGTGTCTGGATATCCGCAGAATCTAGTGAATATTCACCACTCCAAATCAGCGTTAATTTCTTAAACTTATGTGCAGGTTCTATTCCACAGTCAGGGTCACTCTGTGATTACAAACTGTATTTTTCCATGAATTATTCGAGTTGACAAAAATCCAAGGACAAGTGTTATTCACTCGGCGGCTAACATTTCACGTTCAACTCAATGCCTTTGTTTTGTTTCCTTTTGCACATGATTATGGAGATTTTCGTGATTGCAGAGACTGATTTCTAGGGAAATTGTGATGCAAAGCACAGACGAATCTCAGGGAGTTCATGTTGATCTTTCTTCTGTGCGTCAGGGGATTTTTGAATAGATGTATTTCCTTTGCGGTTTGTCTGAGGCTTATGATGAAAATGATAATTTTCGACAAATGGCAAATGTCAAATCAAGGTGCATTTTAATGTACCAAACGGTTGCATTTTTGGTTCGACCAATTTGTAAAAATTATTCAACGAGATTGCTATTTATTTATGGTTTGTCTATCCAGTTTTCAAAAATACAAGAAATTAATGTTTAAATAGAATAACAATGAGGATGCGCCCCCTGCTCGCTCCGCTCGCCAACCCTCATA